ATTCCGGTTTCTTCTCGCCTCGCAACGTTCAAATTTATAATGCCATAAAATGCAATGCCATCGAGGAGGAACATAAAACTTTAAAAAAAAAAAAAGATATCAAATGTTTTGTTTAATATAGGAAAAATAGGTAGCCTTATAAGACTCGGGTTTGAGTTCGCCTCGACCTTTCTATTAGTGTTTTTCCTCTCTTTTTTTTTTCCATTTGGATTATTTTTTTATAATTTTTTTAAAACAGATTTTCGGACCAATCTGAACACTGTCGGGTTTAATCTGATCAAATCTGAATCCCAATTCGAGTCCGACCTAAATATTCAATTTTTTTTCCACAAATTGACATATGAACCCGATCATTTTTTTGGACGGACTTGGACCAGGTTTCAAAACTCAAACCAAAAATAGAATGTCTAAATAGACCAAAGTAAAACAACATTATTTTAAAACCTAGAATGATATATTTTAGAAAATCTTGAAGATGTTGGAATTTATTTTCTCATTTAAAAAAAAATTGTTCCTCGTGAAAACTCATTTCGGATCTTCCTCGGACCCGAAAGGTTTTTATTCGTTAGTGAAACATTAATCGGTCATTTTCATTTGTGAATAGTTATTTGTTTCAACAAATTAATGAGAGAACTATAACAGAAGGATCTTGTCAAGGGAAGTGCAATAATAAGAAAAATCATCAATGGAAAATGATTATTTGATGAAAAATATAATGCTCGATCGCAACGGAACTTCAATCACTTCAGGAATGTCGCCACGATAATAACTTGAAAAGATTCAGTCAATCAATTCATGTAAAAAGATTGACTCAAAATGATGACTTTGAAAAAAAAAATTAAATGGATGGTTGAATAGTAAATTAACCATTTTTCCGACAACCCCAACGAATGAGAAACATCCAACATAAACTCATCCGACGCAATTGCATGAACATAATAAAATGAATTGAGGTTTACATGAAATTTTTATGAGAACATATATAATTTTTTTAGACCGAATTGTATATATGTACACATGGATGATGATCAATACAATATCTAAGTGAAGGGATACGTTTTTTTTTTTGTTTATATGTGATGAAGTATAAGCTCTGTAATGAGAACAAAAGAAAGGAGTGACGACATTTTTAGTTTTAAGGGGTTATAGATTATTCACTACAATCATGATAATACTAATTAATGTTCAAGAACTATATATATATATGATTAAAAATTAAGACTAATGATGATAATTTGGCACGTGGTTATAGATGGTAATGTGACATGAACGGATTGGAAGAGTTGGCGTGTTGCATGTGTTTGTCTACTCCTTAGGAGACAACTATAAAAACTCAACAAATGTCGAAGCTTAGTGTGCTAAGTTTTTGTATAATTGCCACTTTTGATACATGATTTTGAGATGCAACATATATAATGTTTTCCTCTTTCAATCGGGTTTGGACTTCACATGCTCCATATATAGCTCTTCTCCTTACTTGTTGGAACAATCAAACATTCTTTTTTTTTTCTTCCTTTTTTTTTATGTGCGTCTTTGAATGAAATAGTAACATATAAAGAAAACCCTAAACATGCTTTTACTTTCTTAAACAACTTCTAGTATATTCCTTATATATATATATACCTTATATATATAGATATAGAATGTAAAATAAAACATGATATTAAATTCAAACGACTAATGAATATATCGACTTCATAATTTTCTATTTGAAAAAAAAAATCATATTGAAACCTCAAAGCGAGAATTTTATAGCCGTTAATAAAGCTCCGGTTGAGAGGGCATGATTTTAATTATATCCATCAAATTTGAAGGTCGATCTCTTTTATACCACAGTGGCACGAACCTATAAAACATATCTTCCTTAAGTAAAATTGTTAGTGATCCAAAATTTGAATAGTTAAAGTACGTATATATATATGTGATTATACATTGGAGACAAAGTGACCTTAGGTGTATATCCACGCACCTCTTATTCAAATATTGGTGTACACAAGACTAGTTAACTATATGTCCCGTGAAATACAGAGCCTAATATATATATATATATATATATATATATGAATGAATGATCACCACTCTTAAGATCTCCTTGCAGCTACCTAATAATAATTCAATGGATAAATAATATATCCTAATCCTATAAGTACAAACAAAATACAATTTTGTTTTTTTTTTCTTTTCAAGAACATTTATTAAATTAATTTATGGAATGCATACATAGTAAATCCACATGGCAAATGGTGAACGGTCCAAGTATCACATGCAAACAAATAAGTCGGCACCTCTTTCTATGATAGGGTACCTAAATAATTGAAATAAAAGGAGGAGATATAGTTTTCATCATATAGTATATATTAAATGCCAACAAGAAGTGGATATCAATGTTTTCATATATATATATATAGGGGAACAAATGAAATTAATTAACGCGTAAGGAAATTATAAAAGAGAAGGGAGACACAAACAAGTAGATTATCGTGCCGACCAACAAAATTGATCAATCTCTTCACGACTTCTGTTTTTTTTTTTCCTTTTTTTTTTTGGCGACACATATGCATGAAATGAGATGGGACTAGACATGAAAAATCTTTGAACGCAAAAGGACTGATCACTTAATCATGCGTTTCAAATGTAGCTTTTAAATGTGGGTCATTCTCGAAATGTCTACACACACACACACATATATACATACATATATATATATATATATACATCTGTGAGTGTGTGTGTTTTATCTTGTTAATTCTAGATGGATCTATTGAAAAGAATAAACATATAACAGGTCTAGCTTTGTTGGTTGAATTGGTTACATTTTATCAGAATCCATTGAATTGTTAAATGGGTTAAATTTTGCGTGACATTATCTATTAAAAAAAAAATACTATTATACGGTTCTAGTTTGTGATATATCCATTAATTAAATTATAGTCTTATAAATACCAAGATGAATCGCGTTTAAAATAGAAAATTATATTTTATGGGATTTGTCCAAGGTTAAAATAGACAAATTCGTTATAAGACACGTCAAACTTTCAGTTACAACATTAACTATGTATATAGAGCAACGTGATGTGGTATGATGGTAATAGGGAACCCATACTTACCGTCCACAATGGCTCGAATATTGTTGGAATAATAATAATAATAATAATAATAATAATAATAATAATAATAATAATAATAATAATAATAATTGTTCTTTATATATAGATTTCTTAATAACTGCTTGAAAAAAATATACACAATAAAGAAAAATTAAATAATAACAATGCATGTCATTTGGACACACACACACACATCTATATATATATAATTAAAAAATTCGTACTTCATTTTTTATAGATAGTATATATCGAAATTCAGTTTAATCCAAAATTAAACACAATAAATTTGTTCTGACTATGTGTTTTGGTTTCGTTATATATGTTTTCGAGAGCGATTCTTTTATCGGATTGGATAAATAATTCTCTAATTCAATAATTAGAATAAAGAAGAATTTACCACCAGTGATAAATCATTCTCTCGCTCTTGTATTAGAATAAAATCTAACTATTTGCATCTTTTTGTTTTTGTGGGCATTGCAAGGAGCACAAGTGGCCTCCTCTTCATATATCAAATACACTTACATTATATATATATATATATATATATATATATTCACTCATATTAATGAAATAATATGAGAAATACATTCCCCTTGGACGGCAAAATTTTATTAGAAGTTGTCATGTCAAAACATTTACCGGAAAACAGAACCAAGTTGAGAATAGTTTTTTTATATATCTCAATAATCCATTCCACAAAATTATATTTTATTCTGATAAAAAGAGAATACAAACAGAAATTTATTTTTTTTAAAAAGGAAAAGAATCACAAAAGATACCAAAAGACAGAAACCGACAAAACTATGACTGCTATTGTATAACAATGGTCTTGTCAACACGAGAACAACATCAACCAATGCATACATACAAATATAAATACACACACATATATATATATATATGTATTTGACTATATCTACAGACGTGTGTATAGTGTATCTCTATGTATTTGTACAAGCATTTTGGTACTTGTAGGACCGTGTCTTAAATGCTAGGAATTTATGGGCCAAAAAATGCTTTGTTTTTTATATTTATTTATGTAATTGCGCTTGCATGCATACATACATACATACATACATACATATATACATGTACATGCGCAGTTGATGGAAATAAAAAAACCAATCACATGTTAAACGGCTTCCAAATTTATTTGTGTAAAATATTTCAGTTTGACATGGACAGTACTTTTAAGTAGTGAAAATATGATATTTTTAAATATCTATTAGTTATATTTTCAATCGTAAAGATTAGTCCAAACCTCATAAAAGTATCAATATAAACAAAAAATTTAATTGCATTTTATAATATAGATTCTAGAATATAATAATTGTTACTAGGTCTTTATTTCTTCGTACGTATATCATGATCTACTCATGAAATTCATTCTTCCGTTGCCACTATAGACGGTTCATTTTTAAATTATCTTCCATCTTGAAAAGTACCAATGTTATAATTTCATTTACTATTTTTATATTTTATTTCAAAAAAAAAGAACACGCACATAAAAAGTAATCAACTATTGCAACAAAAATAAAGTTTAAGATAAAACATGATTCGATTATCATTTAATGAGTTTAGGGTTACTAGCACACATCTGAATATGTTTGAGAATAATAACAAATTAATAAGATTAATGTGTGTGTTTATGAAAATTTGATCACATATATATACGCGTATATACACACATATATATATGTGTGTGTGTGTGTGTATTTATGTATAGCGTGTATATATGTATTGTGTGAAGACAGAGGAATGGGTGTTATCAACTGTGACAACTGATAACGGATTTGCTATTTGACCAAACTCTACAAAATACAGACAAGTCCTCCATGAAGAGAACCCACTATTCTTTTTAACAGATTTAATTTCAGTATATTTGTGTGTATATGTGTATATATATATATGTATTATGATATAAGTACATCCATATGTTTACATGAAAAAAAAAGGAAGGTCACGGGAATTTGTGCAAGAAATCACACAAGCGGTAAAAAGTCAAAGGATCTACTAATAACACAGAATAAATAAAATGGAAAATAAAAACACCATTAGGGCAAATATCTCTCCTCCTCTTTATGTCTATTCTCTTTCCTCCATGGAAATTGCTTCTGCTCCTTCATTCCAAAAACAAAATCCTCCATGGAAATTTCCATATTGCTTTCGATGAAGATGATGATGATGATGACGATGATGATGATGATGATGATGATGATGATGATGATGATGATGATGAATCTCCCATTGCATAGAGGATGAAGATTTGAAAACAAGGAGCTCTTTCTAATAATAAATTAAACTACAAAGAGAAGCAACAAATAATTACAGTCTCTGTTTTTTTTTGTAAATCTGCTTTGTATGTAGCGTTGATCCCTCCGTGGAAATCGAGGAGAAAAGATCATCAACCTACACCAAAAACAACAACAAGAATAATCATAAACTAGAACTTGATTGTCCTTATTTAATTTCAAAGTAAAAGGTCAAAGCATATGACAATATATAATTAGTGTGTATATATGTATAATTACATGCATGTGCTTATAATTAAATAGCAGAAACCAAAGGCATGAATTGGATGAGCTTACTCACAAGCAGTGTTGTGTTGTGTTATTTGATCAAGGGAAGGAACAGAAGCTGTTGTTTGTGAACCCACTTGGGTTTATAAACTTCTGTCTTTGCTCATCATCATTTATATTATTACCCTGAAATAGTAAATTAAGTAAAACCCATTATGTTTTTTTTTTCACTTATTAATTACATTGTTAGGTCTAATTTTGGATATATATATATATATATATATGTAAAATAAGAGGAGCAATTTATGTTACATGAGAGAGAGGGAGGTGTGGGTGCAATAGAGAATTAGGGAATAGAGGAGTTGTAGTGGTTGGCATTGCTTCAGTAAAAGCCTCTGTGAGCCCCATCTGTTCATAAAAAAAAACATTTATTTATCTATTTATTCATAAAAATAATATATTTAGAGGGAAGTTCAGATGTCAAATTAATGTCTATGTTCAGATCCATCTCTCGGATTTTTGATTGATTGTGTCGGAATCATTATTATATATATTGTTCTAAAACCAGACCAAATAGTCAAATTAAATTATACATTTAAAATAAAATAATCAGACGTTTTTTTTTGTATATAATAGATGATATATACAATTCAAAAATAAATATATTTGCACTTATATTTAACCATAACATTGCCGTTTTAGATAATATGTGTCTAATGCAAGATTGGAATTTTCACTCTTAATGGATGTTAGAATTAAATTTTTGCCAACCACATTCTAATGAAACATTAGACAAAATTAAAAAATAAAAATATTACCTCTGGTCTGACCATGAAGGTGTCAAGGTCCACGCCAAAGTCATAAACCACAGGGCTCATAGAAGCTAGCTTCATAGACAGAAACTGATACATATATAGAAAAAATAAATTATTTAATAAATTATAATCAATAGATAGTTGAGAAATCATAAATGAATAGATAAAATAAAGTATTTATTTATTTTTTGTTGGAATAAAAATAAATAAGAGCATGAAAGAGAAAGTGTGTATGTCTGCACCTCAACTTGATTCTGCAGGGACTGGACATAGTTTATTATCTCATCCAACATAAGGGCCTTCCCTGTCACCTGTTTATATATGTATTTTTTTCACAAATTACATTTTTCCCAAACTATAATAAATCATGCATAATTTCATTTAATTAATTTTTAATTACATATTTACACAATTTTAATTAAATTTTAAGATGAGAATCTGACCTTATCACAACCAGGAACAAGTTTTTGCAGAATCCTCATCCTCTCACTGATCTTCTCCCTTCTCACCTATACTCAAAACATAATATATTGATATTAATATTATTGTCAAAATTTGACGATTATACGAAATTTCTGATTTTATATCCCGAGAAATTAATGCCAATGACCTAAAACTGCATCCATGGAATTACATACCAAACTCTAGGAAATTTTATATAAAATTAAATGGACCGATTTTGATTGGCGAAAACGAAATAGCAATTATTTGGAAAATTAAAAGCAATGTTGTCATGAAATGACCAAATTACCCTTTCAGCGAGGCTGTGGCTGTCAGTAGCTTGGCCTCTTCTTGCCCTAACATGAATGTAATCTTTTGGAGGCTCTTCGCTCGCTTTCTTATCCTTCTCTTCCTCGCCCCCCTTCTTCTGCCTCTTGCTTTTCCCACCCTCTTTTTCCTCCTAATTTACACAATCGCCCCAATATTTAAGTTTTTGTCATTTATACCCAACCAAACACAAATCAAACCAAGAAAAGTTTCTAAATTTCGCAACTTTTTGGGATTTCCAACTGGTTTAATTAGTCCGTGACATGTCAGGGATGATCTCGTGAAAGTTCCAGTACAAGAAAGAACTCGAATATATGAATATGTGAAGTTTTTTAATTTTACCTTGGAATTGATAGACCGGTTTCCCGGCTTCCTCCGACGGTGGCCGACGGTGGCGGCGGCGGCGGAAGATTCGGTGGTGGTGGTGGTGGTGGTGCTATGTCTCTTGGGACCAGAGGATTCGTTTTCTTGGCTAAGTACTTCATCAACCGTAGCCACCAAAGCCACTTGATCAAGAGAATCATCGGCGGTATTGATGTTATTACAAAATGGGTTGGATTCAAAGTTCGGGGTGGTGCTGTCGGGGAGTGCATCATTGTTGTCGAGGTTGGCGAAAATGGAGGAGAGCTTGAAAGGAGGAGCGTTAATGGCGGGGGGGGTGATGTTAGACGAAGGTAAGAGAAGAGGGTCTAGCAGAAAAGGATGATACTGTTGGAACGAAGAGAAAGCTGCCATCTTTCTTTCTTTTTTCTTACAGAGTGGAGAAAGTTTTTTTTTTTTCTTTCTGTATCGAGTTTTAGAGAGAGAGTGTAAGCGTATGTTTGTGAGTGAGAAATCGTAAGGACCCCAAAGGGTTTATATAAACATCTTAGAGAGAGAGAGAGAGAGAGAGAGAATGGGGACCAGTCAAAATTTCAAAGTGTTTATTTATTTATTTTTTTTTGGTAAAGGGACTTTTGCATGCAAGAAATTACCAAAAGTATTTTCGGCGTCAAATTTCGGGAAAAAAAACAGATAATTAATGTGAGGGATTAATCCATTAACTATTTCATAAAATTGTCTATTTTTAGATGTAAACTTTGGGTAACGGCAATACTCTCTGGTAAGAGAAGAGGGTCTAGCAGAAAAGGATGATACTGTTGGAACGAAGAGAAAGCTGCCATCTTTCTTTCTTTTTTCTTACAGAGTGGAGAAAGTTTTTTTTTTTTCTTTCTGTATCGAGTTTTAGAGAGAGAGTGTAAGCGTATGTTTGTGAGTGAGAAATCGTAAGGACCCCAAAGGGTTTATATAAACATCTTAGAGAGAGAGAGAGAGAGAGAGAGAATGGGGACCAGTCAAAATTTCAAAGTGTTTATTTATTTATTTTTTTTTGGTAAAGGGACTTTTGCATGCAAGAAATTACCAAAAGTATTTTCGGCGTCAAATTTCGGGAAAAAAAACAGATAATTAATGTGAGGGATTAATCCATTAACTATTTCATAAAATTGTCTATTTTTAGATGTAAACTTTGGGTAACGGCAATACTCTCTGGATATAGCTGTTGTTTTCTGTACAGCTAGTGTTGCTTTTTTGCACGTAATTTAAAATTAATTAATTATATATATGTGTGTAGTATTGTTTTATCCAAAAGTTAAAAAAATAAACAATGCAAATGCTAAAATTTTAAAATAATTTTATTCTTGTTTTATTTGACATTTAAATCCATATATATTAAAAATAAAAATTGAAGGAAGAGAGAGATAAAAGAGATGATTTTTTAAAAGATTGTGTGTTGGAAATAAATGATATGCTTTAAAAAAAAAAGATTACATATTCATGAAAGAAATTGGTAACAATTTTCCGGGACATATTTTTTTAACAAAATTATTAATTGCATTTAATTAATTTTAAAATATAACATAAATAAGTTATATATATATTATATTGTACATTATATAAGTCTAAAAATAAATTAATATATAATATCGCCGAAGTAGAGTTTCACATCAGACTATTCTCTCGAATCATCGTAAATTATAATCCACGAGTCGATATATCTATTTCTTTGCCATTAAATTGCTGCTAGCAAGAATTGAATTTGTAAGATTTCTGAAATATATATTGCAAAGTTATTTAATATATATATATATATATTAAATATAACTATAATTATGAAATACATTGGCTTTGAATGATTACAAACTAATTAGATTTTCACCATTTTAACCCAATTCATTCACTATCAAAGAGTTTACTTACATTATGGTACTTTATATTTTTAAAAATGTTCTACATCTATATGAATTCATTAACTCTTTAAAAAAAATTTCAATCTATCATTAACTGACTAACTCTATAAATACAACCATATAAACTCCCAAAAGCCAATGCCACATATTTAATGTTATTCTAAAAATTCAATATGATATATTCTTCATTAAATGTGTGAATAAAAAAAAATACGTATCTCTTCCCATCCACTTTTTTCCTCCCATCTTTTTTTCTCTCTTTTATTTTTGTCTTTTTGCGTTGGTATAAAATAAGGCCATGTTTTTGGGCTTTGAGCCCATCTCAGTGGAAATTTATACCCTCAATTCAAAAATAGATTTTAGAGGAATTTTCTAGTATACGTTGTGGTATCATAGAGATTATAAATGTTTAATACATGACATAATTTGATTCGGATATGATTTTTTTCGCTATATGCTTGGAAAAAAAAAATACAAATATGGTTATAAAAAAAATGGAAGGTTTTAATGTAGAAATGAGTTTCATTGTCCCAAACGGTTCAGTTTCTATACTGCTCTCTTCCTTCACATTTCCGATTGCATGCATTGCTTTGATGCAATTTTGTGGACATAACGAGAGTATATGTAACATATTTTAGAATAATTATTAATTTTCGTGAAAGATATATAATAAAAGTGATTAATAGTTATGTATAAAGATTGTATAACTTTTTAAATATATATATATATATATATTTATATTTATTTGGTTTTAAGTGAAAAATCATAAAATTTCATATATATATATACAATTTATATAAAAATAGAATAATATATATGTATAATAGGGGACAAATCCTTATTTTTTAGAGTTCAGTATATATCGTTAGTTTAAAAATTGAATTTAACACACAAACACACACATATATATCTAATGTGACATGGAAATGATATATGTGTATATATATAGTGGATTGATATTCATATTGGAAAATTTTCTACCTTTCCAGAACACATTTTTAATGAAGTTATTATAAACTAAATGATTACTAAATTCCCTTGATTAAAATATCCTCTTTACGGCAAATTTACCTTGGAATTAGTGCAGTCGGTATATTATTTTATTTTTTTTGGCCTTGATATGGTAGATTTTGCTGTCACATCGCGTATATATTCGAATTAATTATGATAGAAACTCTCCAAGGAAAAAAAAACTAAAATATAGAAATTGAAGAAGCAAATTTGACCTTTGAAACAATGCATGGGTCCAACAATATCGATATCGTGTGATTTAGGACAAAGCATGTACTTAGTGTCTATTCATGTTACAAACGCGTTTCGACGGGCTTTGTAACGTTACGGTCACCAAAAAAAAATTGTTTACAAAAATATTTGTGCATTTGTTTTGTGAAATGTAAAGTAATTTCGAGTATGTTTTATATTAATGACCTATCTATAATATATATATATATATATATATATATACACACACAAAATAGATTGGTGATTAAACAAGATGGTTATGTATTAAGAGTAAATTCCAATGTATTAGATAAAATATTGCGATATAATCCCTTTAGGTTTTATCATAATTTTTAAAAAATATAAAAAAAAGTCAAATATATCCTCATCAATCCTAATTCTCATTAATACTCTATTAAAATTAAACATTTTTTTAATTAAAAGTAAAATTAGAAATTATATTAAAAAATCACTTATAAAATTTAAAATGACATTTATTTAGTAATATGGAAAATTTTCTAAAACGATATTAATTATTAAACGGAGGGAATATTAATTTCTATTTAATTTTTTTTAATTAGACAAAATACTACATTTAGTTTATCACACTACATATACATTTAATTTTTTTAGATAGTATCCTTATATCTTGATTCTGACAAAGGAGCTAATATCATAAACCATAACTTGTACATGTACAAAATGATATTTATTTATCATCAAAATATATAATCGGACAAATCAGAAAATACGTACAATCGATTTACATCATGTAAACCAGACTAGGACAAATAACTAGTTACATATTAACCCAAATTTTTTTGGTTCAATCGGTAAAACGTTTGTTTTGTCTCGAGTTCAAATATCAAATTTGGGGAAAAAACGTATATTTCAAATCATTTTGTTGGCTTCTAATTTCTTAATTAGCCTGGATCTTACTCCATGATACCTAACAAAAAAAAAAGTTACATATTAATATACAATTATGTATTACATTACATGAATACGATGTGTCATTTTCCCGTATGTGATATTTGTTTTCCGATGCCATAATATTTTTTTCTTGTCGGTTTTTTCAATTTGGATCGATATGCGAAGTTTCCTCGACAGAAAAAAGACAGAATTGAAAAAAATAAATTAAAAAACAAATAAGAAGTGATGTCATGTGATATATATACGGCGGCAAGATTGACATATATACTGTCGCCAAAACACAATTTCACAACTCTTAAGTATAACGAATACACTCTCAAATATGACAATCGTATATTTATTCATTACTATGAACATTATATATATATATATGCTTCAAATGGACCGACCAACCAATAATCTCCATTAATTCATATATTATACGGGTGTAAATAATGAGTTTGTTGTTGAATATATATACAATCGCAATCTTTATATCATTTTCGTGTTCTGATCTAATTAAGTAACCGTAGACTTTGCCTATGGGTTTAGTTTTGTGTTTAATTTTTTGGTAACCACAATTACAAGTCATGTAATTGTGATTATATTTTGGATTCTAAGTTTTGTTGTTAGTGGCAAAAGACGTGATTATCCAAAATAAAATTTAAAAAATAATCTGTCTTGGTGGAAGTCTCCATCCTCATGACCTGAGGCATAGATGTAATCATAAATGTGTTTTTATTTAAATTAAGATTGAGTTCTGTAATGGTACGGCTCTCTCTTTTATTATCCATTGAAAAAGAATCTATTGAAGAAGAGCACAGTGCTGCCCGTGCAACTGGCATTAGCTAGCTTCCACTTTTTCATGCAATTTCGATGCGAAATATTTGTCTTAATCCTCATTCTCTCTCTCTCTCTCTATATATATATATATATACATACTATTTACTTGATGGGATCAAATGATTTTTTTTTTAATCAATATTGATGTGATATAATTTTACATATTTATACATAGAATATCCATTTTTTTTTTGTAATTTCGAAATTAACGGCAACCGCAACTATATAAAAATATAGCTATCAGTTATAAGCATTTTGATGATTAGAGTATCATTAATGTTTTAGATTAATGCTATATAACCCATATGCTTTTCGGGGTTTAGCTTGAGTCAGCTGAAGTTTATAAACCCATCTAGTGGTTTTAAAGTTCTATAAAATATTTTTTACCAAAAAAAAAAAGGTTCTATGATTCCTCTAATGGACCGTCAATATTTTTTTAAAATTTTAATTCATGAGAGAGAAGCAACGATGTATTTTTGTACAATAAAAGCCCATTAGGAAATCCTGTACGTTCAAGATTGGGCCTGCAAGAATTCGTTGGGCTCTGTCCGAGTTTGTACTGTTGTCATTCAGTGGGTCCCACAAGATTCCATGTCTAAATATCAGATTACGAACAAATCTCCGCCACAAAAATATTGCTGGGATGTCAAAATCGAAACGACGTCGCTTCACTATCGGGTTTGTGTTTCTCCAGACAGAGATTACGCCTTATCCGTTCCAGCTTATAGCTGTTGAAGTAATCTCTGTTCTGCCTCTCTCTCTCCCCCGAGTTCTTTAAGCTCTGCATCAATGGCGTCTCTCTCAGCAACTTCTCTTAGCTTCAAATCTTTATCCGTACAACCCAAAAGAATCTCCCAGGTCAGTTTTCCAGCTCTCAATTCCATATGTTTTCCAATGCATCTTTGGAATCTTCCCCTAATCCATAAAACATATTATGTCTTATATTTTCGTACTAATCTCACTTGTGTTCTCCATTCATAACACGAAGATCTTCGTAAACACTAATGTAACATGATAATATATATCCACGTGTCTATATATACTAATTATCGTAATAACGTTATCCCTATTTGAAATGCATTTAAAATGTTATACATTTACGTACCAACATTTCGCTAATAACAGTTTTTTTTTTGTTAAACAATAACAGTTTTATATAAGCTATGTATGTAGTGTAGATACCGTTTCCTTCGTTTTCTCGGACCAAACACATTTCACTGCTAACTCTAGTTTGGTATCAGAGTGATCAAATTCGTAACTTTCATATCAGGCACCCAAGCCTTAGTGGCCGAGTGGTAAGTGCGCATGCAAAGCATGAGTTCACAATAGGTTCGATTCCAGATATGGGTAGGGGGCGTTGTAAGATGGTAATTCACCCGATCTTGTGTTCGGATCTCCGGCAGATATAGTTGGGTCGAAGGTTCAACTTTCACATCGGATTAGATTCTATAAGATTTGGTTTTGATTTGTACCGAGCTTTCACCCGATAGTGTCCATAATATTACTAACGAATTCGATCTCTCTCAGGTGGTGTCGGGAGAAGCCTCGATTTTTCGGTCCGTCTCTTTTGGATGCACAAAGGGTCGTTTCCCGTATTCGAAGAATCTCCGTCTTCAAGTCTCTTGTGCAGTAAGATCCCTATCTCACACACTCTCTTCTTGCTTTTGAAAACATTAAAAAAAAAAGGAACAGACTTTTGTGTAAGAGTAGTATTAGTATTGTAATTTATACAATGGTTTAACCTAAAATCTCCTATGTATTGACACATATAGGCATATTATGCACCGATTTGAATGTGTTACAAAAAATGCAGGCAAAAGCCGAAACCGTGCAGAAAGTATGCGATATCGTGAGGGAGCAACTCGCATTGCCCGCAGATTCTGAGCTCACTCCCGAGTCCAAGTTCTCGGCCCTTGGCGCCGATTCTCTCGACACCGTACGTACCATATAATATGTCGATTTTGAAATCCTACTAATGTTTTAACGATCGATTTTGGGACGACGATCTGATGTGGCACGGGCAGGTGGAGATTGTGATGACATTGGAGGAAAAGTTTAAGATAAGTGTGGACGAATCTGATGCTCAGAACATAACGACGATCCAAGAAGCTGCCGATTTGATAGAGCAGCTAGTCGACAAGAAACCCTGAACCAAACCGATCGTCGATACCCGGCTAACCGGGAAATTGAACCGGCGGTTTTGGTTTGTAACCTTTTCGTTTTTGGTATTCTTTGGGATGCAAGATTTTGATTGGTGAGGAATCTATGAACAATCTTTTGGGATGTTTGGATGCTTCTCTGTGCTCGAGTCTTTCGTGGATGTCCAATCTAAATTATTTTAATCTAATAAAAGGGTTAAAATCAAATTACATATATCGACGAATGAGATGAATTTAAACACGTCAGATTTACACACACACACACATATATATATATATATATATATATTAAAATTTATAGAATTTTATAACAAATTCAAAGTGAAATATTTTTGAATTATAAATATAAATATTACAATAGAATAAATATTTAGTTTTTTCTTTGTGACATTTAAAACTGTATAATTTATATAT